TCTTGAAAAAACCTAAAAGGACATAGCTCAATTCTCAGCCAACAGAACTCACAAAGGTCAAGAACGTTTGAAAAAAACAGGTCCCTTCCTTTTAATAGCCAGAGACACAATTTAAAACAAAGTTTAGGTACCCCAATTCAACAACTTTGCCTAACTTGCTGCAGAGAATTTTTGGTATCCCACATCAAACCAGAAAGTTAATGTCCTTTCTGAATATGGTGAGCAGATGGAAAGTGAAATATTTAGTGTATTAAAGTGCAGATCAACAAATAGACTCTTAGCTGCTGGAGGAGACAGATAAGAAACAGAGAATAATTCAAAAAATAACTGAACAGCATCTTGAGCACTGAAATATATAGTGATACACACCTGGAATATTGTATTTCACAGGATAAAATACTTCTGTAAGCACTACAGTGCCCCGGGTAGCAGAGAGAGAAAACTGAATCTCTGTAGTATCTGTGAAGCACCTTCTCCTTGGCTGTTATAAACTGACCTGTAAGCTGACACTGTTAACAGATGCATACCACAGGAGCACAGAAAAGCAAAACTATGCCAGACTTCAGAGGTCAAACTGCTGCCTTAGGTACTTAAGCAGTATGAAGCACAGCCTTTTCAGAAGTACTTAATCGGTTTATACACTGAAATTCTCTTAGACCTGTTAATGAACTGTGCAAGCAAATAGCAAGGGTAACAGAATAAAGCCAAGCTCCACTATGCGGTTACCAGAGCTCCCTGCCGTGGTGAGGATGTAACTTGAACAACTCTGACTAACGAAGACAACTTCGGTTGTTCATGCAATATTGCACTTCTTGACAGGATCTAGCCTCTAAGACCAAAACTATATGAAATACCAACTGAAACACTCCTCAGCCAGTGAGGAACACTTGTTATATTTAGAGCTCTTTCTCCTCAAAACAGATACTTCCAAACATCCCTACTAACACACCAGCCCTGCAGCACTCCCCCTCTGAAATCCTATCACCATGCCCAGGGAGCAGGTTTAAGTAGAAGACTCTAATATAAAAGGTGTGTATATTCTATGGAATAGCTGCTGTTTGATTTTTTTTTTCAAGTAAGTAATATTTTTTCAAATAAATAATTTTTGTTTCAAATAAAGCAAACTACATATCAGTAGCCAACATATTTCATAATACTAGAATTTATATTAAAGGAAGGGGAAGAAAAAAATTCACAACGATTTCTTACAGTCTGCATTACAGCTTTGATTTTATTTTGAAGTGTCAGACTCTGTGTCACTGGAAGCAGACATTCCTTCCGTGGTATTTGTACACTGCCGACGCAACAGACACGCAACTTGCCAGGCTCTCTCAGCAGAACTCCATTAAGACAAGAAAGAAGTTTATATTTTTTTATGAAAGCTACAGCAAAACTTAATGCATGAGGCCTTTAATCAAGCAGCTTCCTAATTGTTTAAAAGGAGTTTTGCTCCAAACTGACAGCTTGCAGGATTTGTTTTCATTTTGGCTGCATATAGTGACCCAAGGCACTCTGCTCCTGCCAGGCCAAGACACAGCTTGTCAGCAGGATCTGGCACCTCCGGGCTCCCCAGGGCCCTTGCTGGTTAACGCCCAGGGCCGGTGAGAAAGTGCCGCAGTAATGCTCTGCCATCCATCACTTCTCTACTGGGTGCTCAGCATCCTCGGACTGATCATCTAACACCCTGCTCTGCTAACCGGCACCATGACCCATCTTCCAGCCTGCAATCTGGACTGACTTGACTGATCTTTATTCATTTGAGGAAGATGATGATGACAATGCAAATGTCACTATTCGAGGCAGGCAACACTGCTCACACCGAAAGATTTACATGGGGAGTCTCCATCTCATTCGTGAAATGGCAGAGATCTTCGTAATGGTGATCTGCTCTCAAAAGCTGGTCTCTGGAGAGCTGCCCTCTCCTCCAGCTGATGATCTTGCTCTTGCCCCTTAATCACATGTGACATATACACTGCACTTGTGTTTTTAAATGTGTGTGTTTCTTAAATCTCTGCAATACCTCACAAACACAAACTTCTTTATATGAAAATTGCTTTGCTGTCCATCAAATCACTATCACACCCCTCGGAAATTTGTTCTTCACAAATAACTGTGATATGGCTGTGATCTTTCTTCTTTTACAGGTGGGCTTGTTGAGAGACAGGCAGGCATACCATGCATCTTCTCCTAAATTCAGCAGCAGATCTAGGAGTGGGAGAAATCCTTCTAGCTCCCTCTCTCATGGTCTGAACTGTACAAAACATGGCATGAACATTTGGCAACACTGTACTTAAAGTTTAGAAGACATAACTTTTGTAGGAAGGTATCCCAACACAGTACTGACTTAGAAAAAAAGTGCAAACCAACATTGGATATATACTGTAGAAGACTTGGATGTAAAGGAGAAATCTGGAAAAGACAAATGAGCTAAAAAAGATTTCAGACCTTATTCCTGCAAGTAGGACCACATGGGAAAATCAGATCAGAGTCTCACTGACTTTGACAGCACCCATCCTGGACCAACATGCACTTCCAACCAAAGCAGCAACACATTCATCTCCTGTTATTATCTCCTTTCTGTAACTGATGTATTCTCGCATTTAACCAAGCGATTTCCATTAAGTTTTTCAGTGTTTTGGAATAAGCCTCTGAAGCCCCTGTCCCCCAGTGAAATCAATGAGAACTTCTCAAGCTTCAAGAAGCTCGTTACTATAAAAAAACACCCCAATTTTTAGAAAAAACAGCTCAGAAATTGCCTCTGTACCAGGACATCAAATACTGGCATACAAAATCTGATTTTCTTAACTACTGCTTAATTTAAATAATCAATTTCCAGAAATGTGTATTTTAAATATAAGGTAGTGCTCATAAAGTCAAACATTAGTTCAAATCTTGCATAACTGATACTGCAATACCCTCTTGTGGTCAAATAAAAACGGTTTATCTAAACACCTGAACTTTTTCCTTCATAAAAAGCCTCTCTAGACATTTTTTCGATTGACAGGGGGAAATAACTCACATATATTTTTCATAGATTAATTTGTAGTGTGTATCATCACTTGTCTGGCAACAACAAAAGACTAACCTCAGTCAAGTTCTTCCTCAGAATGATGGGCACCGGCACTGCTTGTCAGATAAACTAACCTTAAAACAGACTCCTAAGCACTCCTACAGTGACACTCAGAAATAGTGTAAATAAACTCTACTACAGGATGAAAAGAAGTACACAGTAAATGAGTCGTACCAATTCAAATGAGCTCCCTGCTTAAATGCCCCGAGTTGTTATAATGAACAAATACAATGCTGAACTGGCAGATGGTAATATGAGGGGAAACAGTTCAGTATCTGCAGCAGTTCTGCTGAGCTGTTCATCTAGTAAAAGGCCTAAATGGACTACTAGTATATCCAGTAAGGAATCTAGAGTAACGCCCAGAAATGTCATCCTAGCACTCACCTTGATGTGCTTCAGTGGTGCATAACCACTCCCTTAATGACTTCTGGTCCCAACAGAAAATGGGATAATTTTCAAAATATCAGCTCTTAGTGACCTGTTTTTGGAACAGCAGCTACATTTTAAAGTCATATCATTATAGCATTTTTAAAAACTTAACTTATTTAAACAGCCATGATTGCATTCCCATCTATTCCAGAGAAATGGCTTGAAGACAATGAAGTGTCCAATACCTGCATGTAGACTCATAGCTTATTTTTGTTTAAAGCCTAAAGAAGTACTAAACAGTTAAGACTTCCTTCTTTTCTGAGCTTGTGCGGTCTCAGACCAACAGATCTGGCTTTAACCTATGAGTTCACTTTCAGTAAGATGTTCGGAGAGGCAATTCGTAGCCCTGCATCAAAACCAGGGCAGTTACAGCTCCTGCATCTTTGCAGACACCACTCAGTGGCACAGACTTTAAACACTTGCTTGTAATCTTTCCATCCAGTTTATTCAGTGGCTACAAGTAGTTATTTGGAAGCTATATGCACTCAGCTCAATAACAATTTTTAGTTTATTATTATGTTTAATTTGCAGAAATTGACTTGACGGAAGGATTAGAATTAAAATAACACAAGAACCTACAAGGCCACAGATACTTGAGGAAGTGACTTCATACTACAACAGCCCAACAGGCTGACTGTAAAGCCAAACACTGACATTTTGGACACTGTTTTGAAAATTCTCACTTTGTATACTAATAATCCTTTAAAGTTACTTAAAAACTACTTCTCATAGTTGCTTAATACCTTCTGCAGAAATCTCTAAGTACTTAAAATGGACTTTTGATGATCTCTGGCTGCTCTTTTTTTTAAATCAGAAAATAAGGAGCTTTCAAAGCACAGATTCATTCAAATACCGTATTTTAAACAAACAAGCTCTGCCCCAAATAGAGTTCAAGGCCCCAGCAGCTGTCCCACTGGGTCCCTGCTCCCTTTCTGGTGAATATTCACAAGTCAGGCTTGTTTCCAATGGAGACAGTAAACACACCAGGGAAACCAGCAGCTTTCAGGAGATTTTGCTTCTGCTACATAACCACAACAAAAGTCCTCCTAACATACTCAGCAGCAATCTCCACAGCACCCTTTGCTACTAAACCAGACTTTATTGTTCTGAGGATTTTGACTAGAGGGGTGGTCTCAGCTGCAAGCAGCAGTAATCGCCTCGTAAGCTGAGAGTTTGCTGGTTACAGCTGGAGAACTGATGGCTTTCGGTAATAGTCGTTTCTTACAAAATTGCTGTTACCATGAAAACTCCTTCAGCGTTCAAGCAACGAAGCAACATAAAGCCGCAGGAAACGAGCATTAAATAAGAGGGAAGTAAAACACTGCCGAGCACTGCCTGTCAGTTCTGCTGTGTGCGGGTTTTTTTCTGAAAGCACTCCAAATCAGCAGCTAACAGAAACCGTGAGGAGAGAAGGAGCTTTGAAAGCGCAAACAATAGCAGGTTTAACTTTCCTAGCAGTCACAATATATCTAACAATAGTGGGGATACAGTGAGTGTCAAAATGGACAAGTTGGGAAAGGGTTCTGGATTCAGGAGAAATACCTTGGTTAGGCCTCGGCAACCAGCAACCACACCTCTGGGGCAACCAGCCTCAGCTCCATCTGTGTCTCCCGGCAGCACCCAACCCAGAAGACCTGTCATTGCACAACCGGCTGCTCGGGCCTGGGCAGACGAGCAGGCAGCACTGCAGCAGGACCAGGTTCAACAGGATAAGATCTGGAGAGAGTCTGTGGAGGCTGAACAGAGACAAAGAAGAATCTGGTAAGTCAGTTGTTCCAGTTCATGCCTCTTCTACTCATCTTGACAATGGTACTGATGCTCCCTGACAGTCTTAGGGCTTGATCCAAAGCCTACACTATCAAAGGAAACTTTCTGCTGCAGGGACTTTGCATCCAACCCTAACACCTTTCTTTCTAAGATTGTATTATCTCTGTTTTCCTTCACTGGACAAATTCTATGCTAGTATCTCCTGGCACGCTGGGTTTAAGCTTTAAGAAAAGAGATGCAAAGAATTGCATGCTAAGTATCTTTTAGCTTTACAGAGATTTCCACAATGAAGATATAAATGTGTCAACCTTTGTAATTTATTGCAGCCACACTGGTATTATCACCTCTTCTCATATTCTTGGAAATGGCTGAAACGGAAACTGAACAGCGTGTTCTGCCAAAATATGATTTTGTATTCCCAATCTGTAAATCTGCTGAACATGCCCCGTTGTTACAGCGTTTCAGCAGACTGAACTGCACACATACAACCTAAGCTTTGACTGTGTATACACCAGTGACCTGAAGGAACCCAAAATTAAGATCCTTTCTGTCTCTGCCACATATCTTGAGTAAGTGTTTATGTTCATACTTTAGTACACATCATGAGCATGTCTATTAGAAGAATATCCTTGGTAAAAGTAAAATCAGATCCAGTTCCAACTGCACACTAGCCAAGCTAAAGGAAAGCAAGAAAAAAGATCATCACTCTCAGGATTTTTTAGAATGGGAAATCGTCTGAAAACCCCTGTACTTCTCAGCTTTCTGGAGGAGATGATACAAATCACAGCTCTGATTTCCCCAGAGATGCATTTGCACTCTTGTCTGGCTCCTTTTACCTGAGGGAAAGGCTGATGCCAGGACTCTGAGTCATGCAAAGCCGAGGCCGTGGTGGCAATGTTACTGTCTCCCAGTTGTGCACTCAGACCCTTCTCAAACAGGCCCAGCATGTTCCATACCCATTCCCTAGCTAAGGCAGCAGGAGGGACGCTGTCTGCCTGCCCCGTGGGATTCACAGTCATGGATATTGGTGCAAACTCACTTTCACAGGTAAGTAAGATAACACATCATACTGCTGATGGTCGTCCTGTTCTCCAGTCCTAGCTACGAAGACAGAAACTCTTGTAAAAGGGTAGGACAGATATGTGAAGGACAGATGCCTGAAGCTGGGTTCATCGGACTACATATGCCTGCAGAGACCTGTCCTTCAGCTCCACATCCCCATCCCAAAAACAATGATGGGGACAGGCTGCTATGTGTTGGTGATCTGACTTGAAGTGGATATAGGTAAATGCCGGAGACCCAAGCATTTCTCGGTAATTAGCACCATCCAGTAACACCTAAATCTGATATGTTCAAATAGTGACTGGCATAGCAAGATAAAAAATTGTAGAACCTCTATGCTGTGCTGGTATACCAAGACATATAGCGAGAAACACAAGCAGCAGAGATTAGCATTTATTTGCACTTAGGGCGTACCTGCACTGGACGGGGGAGCGCAGCACAGAAATCCAGTGCTCCTGCGTGGTACATGGCTGTGCTGTACAGACGAGCTCAACTCAGATGAACGTACAGCTTCAGCACTAGATCAATGAGCTTAGATGCAGCACTGCATAGACACAGGTAACCAGCTCAGAGAGTCAACCCAGGTGTCCCTTGAGCCCTGCTGCAAATACAGCTGTAGATAACTGTTTGTCTGTTGGCCTCACAGTACTTTTACAATAGGAGGTGAAACTTCTGTTTTCCTTCATTTCAGGCCAGGGAAAGCAAAGGACAGAAAACCAAAGGACCTGCCCTGTAGTCCCACACCAGGTATAGAACACAGCGGAAGAGCAAAACTCAGGTCTTCTGACCCCATTTGCTCCTAGCACAGCTGCCTGTCTACACAAAATACTCCTGTAGGTGTTTGCCTGCAGCAAATACGGCTCTGGGAATTCCTACCAGGGACTTCTGCCAGCAGAGTATCGGTCATTTAAAAAATAAGCAGCTGTGTCTTGCTCAAGGTATGGGACAAAAGTTTGCTAGAGTGATTCAGGACTTTGCTAATTTATCTGCATTTGCACAAGGAATACACTGTAGATGTACTATCCTCATCTTCCTTTAGCAAAAAAACCCCGCTCCTCATGTGGTATGGGCTCTATATGGGAATAAAGAAAACCCTGGGCTTCACTACAGAAAAGACAGGTTTCAGTACAAAGAGTTTGCAGGTGTAAGAGCTGGGCTGTAAGTATCAAACTCAGCAGTTAACCAGGCATTCAAATACAACCAGCAATGACCATTTTATTTAAGGACAGAAAATTTTACACTGCATTTTTTACTTCTATTCCAAGGTACCAGAACTGGAGTTTCCTAAAGGACTATGACCAAATGGTAAGTTTTGAACAAACATTCAACTGTAATCCACACTCTTTTTAGTTTTTGTCAATTTGAGCTAGGCTAATATTTCAAACTGAAGCATACTTAGGCATAATCGGCAAATGCTTTAAGACTAAAATCTTTAGGAATAATAAAAGGGAACTGAAGTGCTTTTCATCTGCTACCTACGCCACAAAGAAATACAGTACATGCATGTGTTCAATCTGTTTCAATGTTAACAACTCCACAGAAAGACAGGTGCTAGAAGAACCAGCTTCCTAGGAGAAAATACGTAAGATAATGTCATCATGCTGAAATCCAAGCCACTTACTAGAAACGAAGCAAAAACCCTCCCACATCACAACCATTCTAGAGCAGGCTAACTTCTGTCCCAGCTGACGTTTTATGCAACACATTTGAAAATTATTCATTTCCCTGTGTTATCCTATTCCCATGCAAGATGACAGGAAAAAACAATCGGTTTACTTTATTTCTTCAACACTTTCATGTACATTCAGTATGACATTTTTAAGTACATTCAAATTCTAATTTCAAAAGCGAAAGTGCTGGTATTATAAATAATCTCAGTAACTTGTATTTTTGTAACAAGCAATGGATGTAATTCTGAAAAATTATTAATGGCCTTTTTGTTTTATCCAGGGTAAGAAGAAGGAGCAGAAGCCACTGCCAAACTATGTGCCCGTGTTCTCAACCAAAGTTCCCAACTCCACCAACCAGACTATTGGCAGTCGAATGAACACTGAACTTGGCAAGGCTCTGGTAAACATGGATTACTTCTTCAGCAGTGGAGCACGAAAGAGAAAATTTGATGGTGAGCTCCAGCTTTCCTAGTGCTTCAGTATAAACATAACAGTAACAAAGCAAGTTGAATGCTTCTAGCCAACAGACTCCATGGCACGTAAAAAATTCTTCAATCTTTTTCTCAGAGAGACCAATACTACCGTCTAGCATGGGTTTTCTTTCAAGAGCAAAGATGGATGTTGTTCAACAATGCCGCAGGAGATAATCCTCTTCATATTTGGGGTGACTGGGCCATATACAGAGAGTTAGCACTGCAGATCTCATCCATCTTCCCATGCAAGTCTACAGTAAGGTTGCCACTAACATCAGAAAGAACAAGATTACAGCCAAAAGGCAATTTCTTCTTGAATTTTTACCTCCTGAAAATAAACAATTAATGGACACCCGCTCGGATGAGTCCCAACATAAACAGCGTACTTTCAGTTCTGAAAGCCAGTGCAATAAAATGCAGCAGCTTGTTGCATTTCATGTAGTTAGCCAAGGATTCATCAGCCTCTGTCATCTGCATGTTTAAGCTTGCTCTAAAGAATGAAATTTCAGGCACGTGAGGCATGCTCTCTGCTTTTTCACCCCTCCCTGCTGAGGGAGGGAGACCAAATTTTTTTCACACTGGTTTTCTTTTTTGTTCCTTTAGATTTGCTGCTCTGAAATTCCCTTCTCCTACTCTTTTCTCCTGGTTTAGCTGATGGAAATGCATTGACAAGCAGGCTTTCACATTTTTCTCTGAAGGCGTGCTGGCTCAGCAACCTGTCTTACGCTCTTAGGATCATCAACCTTGAATTTAACAGGTTCATAGTTCCTAAAATCTGTGGTTGCCCAGGGAAACCATCAACAAGCTAAATCGCCACAATACCTAAAGCCTGTTTACTACTGCATCTTCATTACACAGACACAAACTTTGTTTATGACCTGTTGCTCTGTAGGGTGGAGAGTGTACATCTGCCTTTTGAACTGTATGTAGCTTCTACAGGATCATGCTCAGTCCTAGGTAGAGATCAACATAGAAGCCATTAGCATTGCCTCGATACAACAGGCTGCAATCTCTCACCAGACTGAGGTGGAGATGTGTATATTTATGCTCTGCAACTAAGGCTATTTGTTTCTATGATTAGACTTCAGCATCAGAAGGCAGTTCAACAGCACAAGAGGGGTGTGGAACAGTGTGATCACTGTCAACATCCAAGTGGTCTCTGGGGGAAAAAAAAAAAAAGACACTGTAGAACGAAGAGCCAAATCCCTCTCACTGAAGTCACGGCACCAAGCAGTTCTCCTCCTGGCTTCCTTGACACAGTGAGAACTGGAGGATTAAGGCTTTCAAGATGACAGCTAAGCTGCCTAAAGAAGGAAGACCACATCATGCAGTCAGCCTAGGTGAGGAGGACTGATTTCACTCTGTGCAGGCATGAATTGTGATAGACAGCTGTGTTCAAACGCACCAAATGGCAACCTACTCTTTAAAAAAGACATCTTCTTGTTCAGCTAAAATGCTTTCTGCTCTCTCCTGTGAACAGAAAACTGCACCAGGAACTGGTTTGTCTTCAAACATGTGAAAGAGCGAGAGGAGAGTGCAGATCAAGCCTTTCCTTGTCCCTGTCTTGTCCAGAGCTTCTTCCAAGAACTGCACAGGCCACTCAGAGGTTACATATTTGTTGGGAATTGCATAATACTCAAAAGTCATTACACTTTCATGCCTTACTCTGAGACACACTGAGCAGCCTCAGCTCTTGCTATGGGTCACAAACTCTGTACCGAGTGGCAGATGTCCAGTATCTGTCAGGCTGGAGCTCCTACCCCTGTAAGAACATTTAATTTATAAAGCATGGGGGATTTTGTTTTTCAGCATGAAAGCATACAGAGCTCCATGTTTCCTAACCTCCAGATGGCACTCACTCCACACCAAGTAATCCACTGAAAAGGACACTAAGTTATAGCAAGGCACAATTCCTTTTTAATTTCAAGGGACATTAAATAATTCCAGATTCTTGACTCTGTCTGCTCTGTGTGAATCCAGAGAATCCCTCTCCCAGAGAGTTCCCAAAAATTTGAGAGTACGGGAAGCAGGATGATCTAAGCAGTGCATGATTTAATCCTTCCACTTCACTTAGCACTGGCATTGTTTCAGCTGAAGCACTTCTCCCAGTTTTGGACAAGACCTCCCATGTCTTACCACGAAGATGTGGGCCACTGAGCAGAGTCTAGCGAAGCAATGATGGTAACTGGAGTATGGGAAGATATGGCTTATGAGGAAAGATTAAAAAGACTCTTAAAGTTTAACCTGAAGGAGAAAAAGCAGTCTGGGAAGAGGACAGCAGTCTTTAGATATATCTATAGCTCTGGAATGAGAAAAGGAATCATTTGTACTTCACGTAAGTGGCAGACAATAGTAAAAATAACAGGCTTAAATTATAGCAAGGAACAATCCTGTTAACTTTTTGGGAAGCTAGTGGTAAGGCTAATACAGCACCGCAATAGACTCCCTGAGGAATCTCCACCTTTGAGGGTTAAACACACACATCCATCAAGAATGACATATTTAATAGGGTTTGCCTTGAGTGTATAAATTGAATGATAATCTGAAGAGCTTTTCACCAATTCTGTGTTCTACACCAGAGTTGCTGGGATCAGAACACACTTTGCAAACCTGACTTTTCAAACACATTCAGAAAGAATTAAAAATATCCTACTTCAATTGCACCAGGTTTAAATAGATTGCACCTCTAAAATACAGATTAATGTCCTGATTTTTTTGAAAGTCAGTAGGTATACCTGAAGTGGAGCCAAAATATGCAAAGATTTTTGGCTTAATCATCGAAGTGTGCAACCTTGGAAAATGTAGCTCTGTGCCTTGTTGCAAGATCACAGCAACTCACAACTGTACTACCTCTTCTGATGTGGAATTAAGTTAATACCTTGACCTTCTGATTAAGCCCACTGAAATGCCTCTAAAATACTAGTGGGCAACAACTGGATAGGAGTAGCTCTGTTCACCCCCAAAACTCCAGTTCATTCCTATTTCCTGTTGAAATCAAGAGCAACCCTTAAGCACATGACATCTTAACAACTATCTCTAAGGGAAAAGTTTAGAGGAGAAAAGTCTCCCATGTGGAACAGATCTGATAATTCATGGGATATGGGAACATTGTGTAGAGCTGGACACCTTGTTTTGTTCAATTATTACACCTTCCCTGGAAATGCAGATTATTTTGTGCCTCTGCAGTCAGCCCTCCTCTGGTACCCAGCCTTATGTTTCTGAATTTAGTTTGGATCCCTCTACCACATACAGCAACCTCCAGAAAAGACCTTTTGGCAATATCCAAGGTCCTAATCAAAACTGCCTTAGCATCTGCGAGTAGAAGGCAGCAAAGAGATATCCTCTAGATGCCATTTTCATCCCACGTTTAACAATCATTTTTCTTTTACCATAATTAACTTTGCCAACTAATCCTTATTTACATAAGCAGACTCTCTTAGAAAGACTGGATGAGATGATAACAGCATTGAAATCTGCAAATAATCAGTGGAAATTCCATTTATTAAAGAGACTGTGTAGATATAAAACTGTGTTGTAAGCTTCTTGTAAAGAGTTCTTATGATGTATCACTTGTGCTTCAGTTTTATAAGCTTTTTTCCCTTTTGCTGCCAGATCTCAAACAAGAGATTATACATGTTTAGATGATTCATTTTCTGTATTTCTTTCGGTTAAAGAGCACAAGTGGGTAGCTATATTAATGTAATTCTTCAGTTAGATACACTGCTTTCTCCAGTGGACTTTTGAGGATTGTTAATACTAATTGTAACTTGGTACATAGATGTTTCCAGTGCCTCCAAATTTTGTGTTTGCCTTCGCATTTTGTGTTCCACTTACAATAAAAAAGTATGAAAAATATATTTTTTAACAAGACATAACATATTCAAGTTCATATAAATCCGTATTTCTCATACTTTTAGAACAGTCTTTGTATATAGTTCCCAGGTGGCATTTTAACTATAAAGTTTTTTTTTATAAGATCAGTGATGACTGTAAATCCAATTGTGTTTCTTAGAAGCTGTATTTAAAACTGTTTCTTGACCTTTAAATTATTCTACAGTAAGCAAAATAACAAAATGGGTTTTCCTACAAAGAAGGTCTCATCATGCTGTGAAAACTACTGCATAAACAGTAAGATTCCTAGAATAGGGAAGGGAGAGGAGAGTTTTGTATGAACATTAGATGGACAATACTGCCAGTCCAGGCACCATATGTTTGTATGTATTATGGGCATACACATTCACATTGTTTGTCTTCTACAAAGAACACTCTATAGAACAAAATTTTTGAACTGAAGTTCATCTTAAAGCAGACAATAGTTTTCTGAAGCGGGGTAGTTTTTGGTTTGTTGGTTTCAGAAATCAACAATAATTTGTTAGGGCCTCGAGCTGCTTTTCCTAAATCCTGCCCAGACAGAAACCAGTAAACCTTTCCTGAAGTAGGATGTCTCTCTTAAAAACTCTACTCGCTACTCTGAATCCATGTCAGGTGTGCTTTTCCCTCTTCAAAAAACTTGATGTTTGCTTGGATGAATTCCTTGAAACACAGATGCTCCTCCAAGAAACTCAGAAGTTCTGCCAAAGGCTGAAGAGGCATTTGCACAGTTCTGTCAACCACAGCCCTGCCCACAGCCCTCTTCTGTCACAGGGCACAGATGCCATAGACTGAGTTCAGCCTGTCACCTTCTCAAAGCCTCGCTCAGAAGCTGTATGCATCCACAAAACCACCAGTACTTAGAAATGGAATTTCCAAGTGTCTGGGGTTACAGCTTCACCTCAGCACAAGACCTTTATGCCAGGCTGATGGAGCAGCTGCAAATGCAAATGCAGCTGCAAATGCAAATGCAAATGCAGCTGCAAAACCACTGCAAATGTCTCTTAACTGTCTCTTAACTCAGGGAATGCCAAGAGGAAACTCTCAGTTGGCATATACTGATCAATAAATTGCATTGAGAAGTCATCTGCAAAGATACAGGCACAATAGCTACAAAAATGATGAGATT